TGTTACAAAATAGTGTTTTTTGATGAAGCGACGTTTCATTTAAACGGAACAGTTAACAGACAAAACTGTAAATATTGTAGAAGAGAAAATCCTCACTGAATGTGTGCGACTCACACTCAATATCCTAAAAAGTTAACGTTTGGGCTGGTATCATTAACAATGAAATTATTGGTCCTCATTGCAGGATCCCTTTCCAACAAGGTGCCACACCAAGATGCCGACCTGTTTCAGGTTTTTTTCACATAGTACATAATAACGCTAAAAATGAATTTATTCCATATATATGGACCGCACTGTAGGTATATATATTTCACGCTAATGACAAGAAAGCTAAAATTGAAGCTGACGTAAAAACTCCATCTCATCTTATCTATATCTTTCGAGTTTATGCAAAAAATACTCGTATTGTGTTTAAATCACAAGTTTTGTTGTCTGTTTTTGATTTGTAAGGCATCCTCTAATCCAATTGACTACTTTACCCTCTATACTATATTCATTTAGTTTTTTTAATAATATCTCTCTATTTACTGTTTGGTAGTTCGGTGTGCTAATACCTGTATCTGGATTAGATAAATCAATAATATTCGTCCACCCTTTCCTACCTGCCGTCATGCTGTTTGCTATGCTTCAAATTCTTAGAATGGGATTCCATATTCGGTTGAGGTTCACAGCTTCTTGTTCTCTGTTGAAATTACCCGCGTGTTTGTGGATCTCTTTTGCCTTCCGTATCAGTCGACTATGATATCTCTGGTTGGGGGCAATGAATGTTGTGTTTTGAAACAGAATCCTGTGGTTTTCTTCAATGAGTGCGTGTTCTGCCACAGCCGACTTGTCCGTTCGGCCTAGCCTGCTGTATCTTTCATGCTCCTTCAGTCTTTTTCCCATGGAACTTTTGGTGGTTCCGATGTATACCTTCCAAGAAGTACACGATATGCGATACGCCCTACTGCTGATAATGGGTCTCTCTTGTCTTCAGCCGACCTGGGACTTTGTTGAATCTTCTTAATAGGTTTGAAACTCGTTTTGATGTTGTGTGGAACTGTAGAACTGGAACTTCAAGTGACCTTGAAATCGAATGAATACAGTGTACCCGAGATCAACAAGGCCATGAGACTGAAGAGTTCCATGGCTCAATACCGGAAAGAGGCTCGGATAGTTGCACGTGCATATCTATCATATATCCCTAGGGACAGAATTGAAAAACTTTTGGAGAAACACAACGTTGAAACAGTTTTAAAATCTACCAAGAAGATACAAGAAAGTCTCAGGAAGGCTAAAGATAAGAGAGACCCACTATCAGCAGCAGGGGTATACAGTGCTTTTCTTTAATGTCCCCCCCTTTTATTTTTTGAGCGGGTCAACTCAACAAATTGAAATTTGGGATGATGAAATTAATGCATGAGTACTTTGTTTTGAAGTGAAATTGACAGATGAAACATTCAAGATGGCGGCTGGGCGGCATCTAAAAAAAATAAATGGAAGGGGATCTTGCGACACATCTTTTTGAAGCTCCTGACAAATACTTTACAACTCTAGAATAAAATGTCAATATCTTCAACTACTACAAAATGGCGGAACGTTAAATAATTGCCTGAATACATTGACATTTAACTACATAGTATGAGGTAATAAGCTTGAGGTCAGTTCAGATGGTGCTCGAAATAGTTGCCTTAAACTTCTTGACATACCTGTCTGTAAAAATCTGTTTTTCCGTTAATCAGCTGTCGCCCCATAGAACGACAACTCTCAGAAGTTGAGAAACTTGTGCGAGCTAAGGACTAACGAGGTGTTACCTTTTAACGTGTGATTCCTAACACGGTGAACAGCCTATCCGATATTTCACGCCGATCATTTTCGATCAGTTCAAAGAAAGTT